TATTATTTGGTGTAGACTGGGGATTGAACTCAGGGCCTTTGCACTGAGCTATATCTATGTTGCTTTCTTAAAATTTAAAGATAGACTCAGACTCTTGCTAAGTTGGTAATCCACACAGACTGGGCATGTACGTGTGATCCTCTTGCCTCAGCCTCCAAGAACGCTGGAGTTATAGGTGTGCACCACTGCATTTGGCTACCACCCCTTGTTTTGGTAACTACAGATGCCCATGGCCTATTAGAAGGAGAACGGGCCTCAGGAACTGCCTGGTCTGAAGGCACTCAGGAAGGGGGTCAGATTCTGCTGGGTGGAACACAAAGCTCCAAGTGGTTCTGACCCACAGTGAGCACTGCTGACCTGGCCACTTTGTCCTCTGGCCAGCACCTGTGGAGAGTGGCCCAGAGAGCCCCCCCAAAGCCTGCGATGACTCCACAGCAAGCTGTGAAGCTCTGTTCCCCCACCTCCCACCTGGCCTTGCCACCCAACCCCCAACCTCGCCCCTCTCCCCCTGGCCTCTCACCTCTCCCTTTATCATCACGTTGTACTTCTCACTTGCCTGATTCACTTTTCCCATCTTCTTAAACTATTATGCCCCAAACAAAAGTCCTATTGGTGGCACATGGCCATTTAAGGGCATATTTGCTAGAAACTGGCCTCTGGCAGGCTGACCTCATCTCTCCAGAAGGCCTCAGGGTCCTCATCTGTAAAACAGTAACACTGCCCACCTCTCCAGCCTGTTTTGAGGATACAAGGAAAGAAGACTTGGCACACAGTAGGTGCCTAACAGTTGCCACAGTGGGATGCTAAAGTCACTATTGGTGCCCCACATTTCTAAGCCCTTTATAGTTTAAACCTAAATACAGGTGGCTGAGAGCACAGCTCAGTGGTAGAGTACAAGGCCCTGTGTTCAATCCCCAGCACTTTTCAAAACAACAACAAAAACCAAAATCAAGTAACAACAAAAAGCATAAAAATACATTTTATCTATGTCTTTGTCCCTTTTAGGAGGAAGGATTCCTGGTCACAGGATGAGATACATTTTGTGTAAGTTTTGTAATCTATAAAGTTCATATTCATTAGTGTAAGGACTTTTTGAATATTATTTACCAGGCCTTATAACACTTTTGAGAGGCAGAAAACAGCTGAACAGACACAAAAGCTGAGGCACACAGCCAGCGGCATTTGCAGCAGGCCGCCCTGTGGTCCCTCCCTGCTCCTTCCTGCCCACTCCTCACACCCTCACCTTAGGTTCTCGGGGCGACAGGCCGTACAGCAGAGGGCCCTGGGCTCTGGCGGGTCCTGGCAGACGGTGGGGGGGCACCCAAAGGGGAACTCGTTCTCATCAGGGGCCGGACGGGGGCTGCTGGCTGAGCTGGAGGCCATCCTGGGGTCCAAGGCCGGCCAGAGGACTGGCCCCGCGGAGTGTGTGGGGAGAGAGGAGGTGGGTTCTGGCCCTCTGCTCTGGTGAGCAGAGGTCTCTGCTGACCTTATCTTCTGTCTGGCTTGTATAGTTCAACGTCACAGCTGAGTCACAGCAGGGATGAAACAGGAATTACCCTTTGTGGTGAAAAAAAAATCCCCTGGATGGTGACTGAAGGCTTTGGGAGTGTCCGTTTTGCAGAGGGAAAAAGAGCAAGGGAACAAGTCAGAGTTAAAAGTCAGAAGTTAAAAGAAAGTCAGAGTTAAAAGAACCCTGTCACAGACTTTTAGAGACCACGGAGTTCCTCTTGTCGGAGAACTGCAGGCTGTCTAGGACTTCCTCCACTTCCTCAGGGCCTCATCAGTGGAGAGGCCATGGCTGGCCACTTGTCTTCTTACCTGAGACCTCTGAGCGGCAGAGAATTCTCAGCGGGGGTGCTCACCTTCCCCAAGGCTTGGGGGCAGGTCCAAAAATTCAAGTTCTAGATCCTTCAGCTCTGCTCTGTCCATCAAGTCTGGGGAACCTCAGGCGAAAGTCACTTCCTCACAGTGGATCTTGGTTACCTCCATCTGTAACAAAAAAGAAAGTTGCAACAGGTAGTCTCAGGCTCTATAATTCTGTGACTCCATGACCAAGGCCACCAGAACCAGCAGGAAGCCTTTGCAGACCCAACCCTGCCTGTGGCCTCCTGCGTAGTTCATGACGGTGACAAACAGGGCCCTCCCCTCCTTTGAAGTCTAAAGTCTTGGGACCTCAGACTCCACAGAGTCCTCTCCCCACAGCCCCACTCAGGAAGTCATAGGTGGCTACATGCTCAGGTCGGGCACCACTACTTCCCTGCTCCAGGGAGAACAAAGCACTGAGCAAGATCACTGGAAATGGTTTCAGTAGCCAAGTGGGTTGGCGCGCCATGTCTGCAGGAGAAGTGAACTGTGGAAACAGTGGCAACTGGCCAGCCTATGGTGCCTTCCAACCCTTACCTCGACCTGTGGAGAATTCTGCAGCAACGTACAGCTCAGAGAAGCAAGATGCAAGGTCCAAAGTCACACAAGCCTCTGTCTCAGTTACTTCTCTCTCATTGCTGAGATGAAATACTCGACACCTCAAATTAAGGAAGGAAAGGTTTATTTAGCTCACAGTTTGTGGAGGTTTCAGTCCATACTCGGCTGGCTCCACGGCACAGTGCCACATGGCAGAGGACAGCAGTTCATGGTGGGGGAAGGCAGCAAAATAGCAAGAACAAAAGGGAGGAGTAGCAATAATGGCAGCAGAGAGCAAGTCTGTCTCCCTTAAGTTGCATTCAGGCTATCTGCCCCAGGCTGGGTATAGCACCATAATCCCAGCAGCACTCACGCCCATAATCCCAGTGGATCCTGAGTTAATCACAAACTCAAGAAATCTACCCCATGACTTACATGAGGCTTTGAGGGGACAATGAGACACAAACCATAAGAGCCTCAAACCAGAGTTGCAGGACTCCCAGTTCTGTGTTCTTCCACTATAAAAGAGATGAAAGCAAGGCGGCCGGGGTAGCCTTGGAGCCTAGCACGGAGGTCAGTGCATCTAGCTTGTTTCATCCAACAAATGGAAAAGCAATGGGCTGCAATAGGGGCTTGCAAACTGCCATAGGGGGTTCAGATCATGGTTTTTGAGGTCACACACATCTGAGTAGGGGTACTGCCTCCACTACTTACTAGCTACTGCTCTTGAGACAAGCTCTTTAACTTGTTTGAACCTCAGTTTCTGCAGCTGTAAAGCAGGGGTGATAAGATCTACTTCATCCAACTGTGGTGACGACCAAGAGATGCTGGGTAAAAGAGTCGCAAGGCTCACAGTCCCAGGGAAACATTTGGAAGCCTGCAGCATTTTACTCAGCTGATGACCACAGCCCCTCTCCTCAAAACCAGGGCAGGGGATTAACGCGGTCAACTCTGCTAACACAATGTTCTCATAGCCATCAACCTCAGCCTCCCACTGGGCCAGGCAGGGCAGGTTGGATGTGGCCATCTGATCCTGGACAAACTGAACTGCCTACCTTCCTGGAATGGAAGGGCTGCTGAGGCTGGTGGCAAAGAGGTCACTGTGTCGTCTGCGGTTTACAGCAGGATATCACCCTCACCTGGGCCTGCCTGGCCTTTTCAGCAAGCCACCTCGAGGCCCCCTGGAGACCATCAGAAAGCATTACTGTAAGTACTTACCTGAACCTGCCAACTGTTCCTGCTGTCTAACTGTACCCTCTCCATCCTGGCTTGGAACAGAAGAGGCACTCGAGCCTCACTCTTCTGTCTGCCTTCTCTAATTCCCTGTCTACCGGCTCCTTCCTATTACCATCTAAATATGGCCAAGTCATTCTACTAAGTGCAAAATAACTAGTACTACTTTTGAGTGCTGTGTTAAGTACTTTTAGACATCATGTCATCCAATTTTCATGTGACCCTTAAGAGGCAGATTTGTCATCATCACCCCAATTTTTTTTTCTTTTTTTATTTATTTATGTGTGTGTGTGTGTGTGTGTGTGTGTGTGGCCAGCTCAGCCCATCAGGGGGTGGGCCTGGCTGGCATGTGGTGCTGGGGGATTGAACCGTGGTCCCTGTGCTTTGCTAAGCTTGTTCTAAGTAGGTGCTTTAGACCACTGAGCCATCTCACCAGCCCCATCACCCCAATTTTATAGAGGGAACCCATGTATGGAGTCCAGTGATCATGACAGCTCCTGACCCAGGCTGTTGCAACCAAGAGCCAGTGCTTTAGCACCCCAATTCCCCTTACTCCTCTACCCTGTCTCCTCATTCTGCATTCTACACACAGGTGCTGGAATCTTCTGGAACCATTCCTCTGAGGTTACAGATGTGGAGGTTACTGGATGCCTGGGATGGCCTCCCACCCTAGGTCAGCGCTCCTAGCTCTTCCTTCCTGAATCCCTCCTTTTTTCCCCTCTCTCCCGGCTCCCTTCTACCTGGCCTCTGGAGCTGCTCCTTATCCATCTTCTTGACCCTTTTGTCTCCTACCTCGAACCTCCACTGGCCCATCTGCACAGTTCCTGATATCCAAGCACTGGTGTGTCTGGGCCACACACCCCATCTTCCTATCTTTCCCCTCTTTCTTTGAGGCATCCCCAGTTTCCCTGGGAAGTCACTCCGGGCCCACGGGAGGGGGCGCCTGTTCTCAGCACCGTCGCGCCCCGCCAATTCCCGGTTGGTTCCCAGCTGCCCAAAGCCCTCTGTGGTCCCAAGCGCTGCCCCTGGGCGAGCACAGGTGATGTCCGAAGCCCACAGCTGACGTCCAGGTGCGAGCGCACTTTGAGACCCGCACAGCCTGTGATTACTCAGGACGAACGCACCCCAGGGAGGCCCCGGCGCGAGTGGAGGGGGCGGGGCAGTGAGCGGGGCGGGCGGGGGTCCCAGGGCTCGGATCCTAGGTCCGGAGGTCTGTGGGGCTGCAGCTTGGGGCGCCCCGCTGCTGTGATCGACCCGGGCTGGGGCGCCTCAGCTGAGAGCTTGGGGTCTGAGGGCGGGGGGCGGGGAGGGGTGCAGGGCGACCAACCTCCGTGCCGCAGCCTCCCCGCGGCCAGTCCGGGAACTTCCGGTGGGGCGCAGACGACAGCACCTCCCAATCGGCGGAAGCCACGAAAGACAGGGCTGGGTGCCAGGTCCCCGCAGACCCGGCTTGTTTGGAAGGCGGCCTCGAGGGCGGGGCAAGTACTCTGCGGATGGGGAAACTGAGCCCTCCCCCGCGTTCCCACTAGTGGCTGATACACGGGCAGCCCCGCACCCCAACCCAGCGCGCGGTATTCGGGTGCCCACTGCCGCGTCTACACGCACCGAGGACTCAGTGCAGCACTTGCCTGGAATACCGCCCCCCACCCCCGCCCCCTGCCCGCCTGACACCCGGAAGCCTGAGCCTTACCCGGTGCTCTCCCCCCACCGAGCCCGACCCGGCTCCTGCACGCTAGCCGGGCGGCACCATCCGCAGAGATGGTGCCGAACGGTTCCAAAGGTGCGTTTACCGACCAGGGTATTTTAAGGGACCATTTCTGCTTTTTGTAGTCTAAACACTTCACGCACGCGCGCGCGCGCGCGCGCGCGCATACACACACACACACACACAAACACGCCGTGCACAGCCACTTATTCTCCAGGAGTTTGTTTATATTACAAGAGTTACAGAATTTGGTGTTGGGGTAGAATTTTTGTTTAAAAGATACAAACAACTTTCATTTTTATGCGAATCATTAATTTGATCAACATCTCTTTAATCAGACTTAATACCCATAGGTTCAGCTGCTGAGGGAAGAGGGACTTTTTTCCCTCCGGCTTTAATTTTGCAGGGGCACTCATCAAACAATCTTTATATCTTAGGGTCCCTGTCTGTTTTTGTCTTCAGTTCCGATTGAATTTTAAAGGAGAAAAATGATCTTTTTCTTCTTTTGTTTTTTAACCTGGGGTACAGGCAAGTCTCTGGAGGTAACAAGCCAAGGGGCTTCGGGAGCTAAGAGACAACCCCTGGAAACTATGGGAAGCTAGCTAGCGGTGACCTCTGTGAGGCCTTTGATTGTGACAGTAAGAGATCATGTCTCTCGTTGCTGACTTCACAGCGCGTGGATTCGCAGACCATCCCTGATGTAAAGCAAGGATCTGGGGTCTGTCGGAACCACTCGCTGTCTCACCACTGACCCACTCCCCCGGCAGTGTGAGTGAAAAGCCCAGGCGATCTGACTTCATGATCCTCACGCACCACATCCTGTTTTCTGATCACTGAACTCATTTGCTGGAAATTTACCAAGAGAAATAGTTTAATTTTGGAAAGTACCAAAAACTTCTCTGTAGTCACTCAGTTTAATTTTGGTGGGTCTGAAAATAGAAGGGGTATCACCAAAGTGTCTGAGAGTGCCCAGGGAACAGCCAGGCTACAGAAACTGAAAGTGGAGCCTTGTGAGGTTGAACCTGCTTTAAAAAGGGAAATAAAACCTTGGGAGACCACTCATCTCTACCCAGTAGATTTTTTTTTTTTTCCTCCTAAAAGTAAGTTTAAAAAGATAAATAAATAGCTCATGTGTCCAAGGTCTCAGGTCTGGTGGTCTGAGCGTGGGTGGGGCCACGACTGTAGAACAAGACAGCAAGTGGCAAAATGGGCAGTGTTTGAACCTCTGCCTTCTATCAAATCCACATCTGCTTGGGGTATTCACAAAAGCATCCGAAATCTGTCACTTTCCAGGTTTTAAAGTTTATTTTATT